GGCCTGGCAATGGATCTTTTTATTCAGAGAACCCACGAGGAGGAACACGCTGGGCGTTCCCCTCTCTTGTCATAACCTCACCTTCGAGATTTCCTGGCTTAGCAGTAGTGTTTTGGTGTTACCTCTCGCCTGTTTGTATTTCTGTTAGAGGGAGAGACACAGCATGACTGCTCTAATGAAAATTAAGGACCGATGGGAATAGAAGGTACCATATAAGAAGCCTGAAGCCTGTTGTGTTACCAGGGGGAAAAACACAAACAAATCCAGAGTGTACCCACCTTATGTAGGTGCAGGCATTTGATTGGACTTCCCTAGTCATGGATCTATTCCAGTGGTTCCCAGCCTTAAGTCCTCAGATATTCTTGGATGGCAACTCCCAGAACCCCCGACCAGCACACCTGGTGGCGAAAACTTCTGGGAGTTGTAGTCCAAGAGCACTCGGGTGACCCAAGGTTAGGAGCCACTGCCCTAGACAGCCGTTGGAGAAAGGAACGCCCCAGCTTTGTATCTGGAGAAGGTTCAGAAGATGGATCACCTGGAGTCTGAAGATAGTTGTGCCTCCAACAGACAGGTGATAGCTCGCTCCAATTCATTAATAATAATTGTGTGCCATCAGGTCAGTTCTCACTTAAGGTGACCCTTTCCAGGATTTTCCTGGTAAAGAATACACAGAAGTGGTTATCATTCCTTTCTTCTGGGGGCATCCTGGGACTGTACAGGGCAGAACAGCTGTTGGAGGTTAGGCATTCCTGTACTGGTGTACATCCGCTCTAGACAATGAAATAGCATCTCATCCGTGTTGCTCAGCTTGTTGTTCCTACTCTTCATTTATGTTCCCCTCCATTGATTAGCTGCAACACACTGCACTTTCATTTCACATCATAGGAATCATAGTTAAGCAAGTTATTTTAATTAATGTGCATTTAATAACACAGTTAAGAGGGGAATCTGCCTGTATCTCTGTTGCCGAACTGCTTCTCTTAGGGGAAGGAGATGATTTTTTGGGCCCCTTGATCCACAGCGCCTTACAGCTGTGCAGGAAGCATGCAAGGGGTGGGGGTGGGGATTCCTCTCGCTTGTCTTGGGTTCCCCTGCTTTGTTCCCGCCTTGAGTTCTGCTGTGGGCTGCCCCCTCCCGGGTTGGCTGCTTGTGAGGAGAGGAGGCTCCTTCCTGGCACCTCCCCAGCCGGAGAAGCCGGCTCCGGGCAAGCAGGAAGGCTGTGCGCGCCCTTGGTGCAAGGGGTGGACGGAGACCCACCCGAAGGGCTGGCCCTCAGCTGCAAGGTAAGAGAAACATGAAGAAGGGTCTGCCGGACAACCTGCGGGATTCCTTCGGGGACACAGAAGTGGGAGGCTCTGGCAGGGAATCCCCTCCCTCCAAACGATGGCTGGACAGGAAGGGAAGGCAGTAACAGAGAGAAACTAGCTGAGAAAGGCTGAGATGTTTTTTTCCACCCTCCAAATGCCCAGCTTTTTACACCCATGCACCCCTTTCTCTATATATTCCTCATTGCACTGTTTGGAGCTGTCCACAAGGAGCAAAATACACACACACACACGTTAATTGACAGATTCCTGCTGGCAACAAACGAAGGTGTCACTGACAAATCCTTCAAAGGGGGCGGCTATAGGAGCAAAGCACCACTGCCTCCTTAAAAATCGGAATGGCTTCATGATGGCAGGGGCTGCTTTGATGGTCTGGAGAGGCCACCCGGACGCATTGGGTCTTAAGTAACTTCTTGTTGTTCCTTAAGGGAGCTCAAGATCCCTTTGTGTTGCTGCTTTCATTTGACACGGAGGTGGAGAGTTTGTGTCTTGCAGTTTGTAGCAAGGAGCCCCAATTTCAGAGGTTGGGTGGGTAGAGGGTTTTGAAGCTGATCCATGACACCGGAGCACGGACTGTGGGAGGGGACACGCACCTCACATGCCCTTTGAACAGCGGAAGGAAAGAAGGAAGGACTGCCTTTTCTTTAAAAGTTATACTTTCTCCAGAAACTAGGGCACACCGCCAAAGTTCAGCAGCCCTCTGAGTCGCGACCACTTTGTATATTGTCCAAAAGGCAGAAAATTGCAGATGCTAGTTAAGGAAGAGAAACAATACTTTTAAAAAATAGCATGTAACATTATAAAGTCAGCCACTTAATCACTTGGACATACTGCTATTTCAAATTACAATGTATTTAAGGCTTATGCCTGTTCATGCTCTGTGCCTTTCTGTTTACGGTGAAAATTTACATGCTTCTCCTCCTTGTAGGAAAATGTCCAAACTGAAATAGAGCTAAAATCTCCACTTTCTTAAATCAAAATTTTACATGCTTCTCCTTGTTGGAAAATGTCCAAACTGACATAGAGCTAAAATCTCCACTTTCTTAAATAGTTTTGGAAAACCAGAATGAACAGGCAAAAATATCCGACGCACCAGATGTTCAAATTTATTGGACAAATGAAAGGGGAGAAAATAGGGTGGCATCTTAAATATGAACAGATTTGCTTCCGTAGCTGGGAATCCACCTCCCCAACACAGTCCATAGTTTGTGCTCCTGTTTAGCTCAACAACGTGGCTGAGAGTCTTTTGATTCCTTGGCTTCTTTTGATTCATTTTTTATTTGATTTGATTTTTGATGGGCCAGACTGGTCCTTGGGCCCACCCAAAGTCGCCCCAGGAGTTGGCATAACATCCACCAAGTTGCTTTTCTTAGGACCGGTAGCCAAAGCATAAATATAAGCTTTCAAGTGGTTTGGGAGACCTTTTTGGGCTTAGCAGTTGATCCTAATGACGTCATTGCACACACATCTGGATTTTGGCCATTCCCTCTCCTCCCTCCAGCTGAGAGACCAACACCATCATGCTTTTTGATAAATGTTTGGGCATCTATTCATGTGGGCTCAGATGGGGATTCATAGCAAACACACTAATATCCTGATTTGATCCACTGTCTTCTCCAGGTCTCGGTTGAAGAAGGAAAGTGACGTTTCCATCATGACTGAATACCACATACGGACCTATGAGGACCGAGACTATGAGGCAGCACGTGCCATATTTGCCAGTGGGCTCATGGAGCACAATCCGGCTGTTTTCTGGTACATCCTGAGCTGCCCCCAGGCTCACCTCCTGCTGCTGGGCGCCTTCCTCCTGAGAGACTATGAGGCAGCACGTGCCATATTCGCCGATGGGCTCATGGAGCACAATCCGGCTTTTTTCCGGTACATCCTGAGCCGCCCCCAGACCCACCTCCTGCTGCTGGGCGCCTTCCTCTTGGCCTACGTGGCTTCTGCGTCTGTCCTGTTCTCCCTCGGGGTCGTGTCTGCCCTCTTGGTTCTGGCTGGATTCAGACGAAGGCCAGTTCGAACGATTACATCCAAAGGGCTCTTGATGGAGACATGCGGGACATCCGGGGGGCCTACCTGGAGCAGAAGGACTGCTGCTTCTGGGTGGTGGAGCATGGCGAGGAGGTGGTAGGGACCGTGGCCGTCACCCACCCGGAAGACACTTCATGGCGGGGCAGAGCACTGGAGCTGAAGCGCATGTCCGTGAAAAAGGAGCACCGCGGCCGGGGGATCTCCAAGGCGCTCACCCGGACCGTCATCCGCTTCGCCCAGGAGCGTGGCTATAAGGAAGTCGTATTGGGCACCTCAATAGTGCAGACGGCGGCTCAGCGCGTGTACGAGAGTATGGGCTTCCGTAGGGTCAGGATCATCCACCCCTTCCTCCTGCTTAAGCTACTGAACTTTCACATCTACATCTATCGCTATGAGATCCTGGAGACCTATTGAGACACATCTTCCCCCCCAAAAGGTCTATCAGAGGAGCAGGTGGACCGTGGGTGGGCATTCTTGCTCACACGGGGACGCTACAGGTGAGCAGGAATCTCAATGCTGCAGAAACATCTCCTTCCAAATAGAGAATAAGAGGAAGGAGAGGCCTCGCCTGCATGTGGGGAGAGAACCTGTTAAGTAGCAACTGGATAGGCCTTAAGGGTTTCGCTAACTGAAGTTAATGTAGGAATTCTTGCCTTTGAGTCACATCGCAACCCAGCCGAAGGGGCGACCTCCCTAACCCTGGCCACCGCAATGCAGCGCATGATTGTTGCCACTACTGAAGCAGGTTTCGAAATGGCGCCGTTGGTTCTGTTCCCCTGTGGTGGGCAGAGCAAGGTTGTTGATCGTATCTGTGAGGACTTCAGCATTGTAACCAAGAAAGATGGCATCTTTGACAGCTGGCAGCCTGGTGAGGAAGGGGAGCCAGGATGATGGACTGACTGGCAGTGATTCAGGAAAGAGTCCTATCTTCTCCCTCCCCGCCTCCAACTGGCCCTACCTTGCAGGCTTGTTGTGTGAGTAAAGTAGCAGGAAGACTCTATCCTGCTCTGGAGGGAAAAACAGTTATAAGTAAAAAAAATCATTAATGGAATTTTCCTGTGTCTTTTTTTTCTTTTTTGTATAAGGTTGCAGTAATCTTAACGGCAATTTACCATAACTTAAAAATTGGCCCCCACCCATGGATTGTTATCCGAGTTTGACCTTGAGCTCGAGGACAGAGTGCTCTCTGCTTTGTACACCTTTCCCACCTCTGGTTCTGTGCGTCGTGATGATTAAAACAATCCTGAAATCCATCTTACGGAGGCAGAGAGCAGGTTGCAGAAGGGTGAAAGCTATGCAGGGCCGTGCAGGGAGTCCAGAGGGCAAAGCTTCTTCAACTTAGCTGACAGGGAGAGAGAACAGGGTGAGGAAGCAAAGGACCCGATCCACCAAGTCCCGTTTTTTCTTTTATCAGCCCCCACCCCACCCCACACTGGATGGGAGCTGCTCCTTTTAGACCAGTGCATTTCCAACCTTAGCTCAGTGCTTCTTCCCAGAACCTCCCAAGCTCAGCTCCTGATCTTTTCAGTTCGCCTGCCCTAGAAAATGGGAGGTTCCATTTAAGATGCTGGCATGGACAGCCACTGACCAAACTGTTTTCCCTTTGCCGTTTCGAATTCAGACTCCAGGGAACCAGTGTGGTCGAGCGAACAGAGCGTCAAACGGGCGAGACCTAGGAAATCTGAGTTCAAGTCTCTGCTTGGCAGTGGAAAGCTTGGCGGTAACGGCAGCTCCTTCCTCAGGCCTCTCACAAACCTCAAAAAACTCACTAGGGTTACCACAGCTTGGAGGTGGTCCAGCAGCACAGAGAGGTCAAGACTGGCTGAAGCCGTTTGCTGCTGTGGGGAAACACTGCCCTCGTGCATGCGGTGGGCACAGGCTGGGCAATAGGGTCCAGGGCACAACCTCTTTCAATCTGTGTGTGTGTGTGTGTGTGTGAAGGGTGGGACAGAGCAGACCGGGGGGGGGAGGAACATGAAGCACGGTCCATTCACATCTCCTCTATCGAACACCACAAAGATGGGGGGCATGCATCTTTGCCGACCCGAAAAGATTTTTTTTTAAATGCACTCAGAAAAATGTAACTTCTGGAATCCCAGGTCTGGAGACCTCGCAGGCTAAAGATTTGACTTTTTAAAAAATCTACAGACCACTAATTGGTGCGATGCATAAGCATAATCCATGTTCATCTTGCCTGTCAAATCTTGTAAGTGGGTAGGTTTGTGTTTCTGGACTACAATTGCCAGGAGCCATGTTGCCTAGGGAATTCTGGGAAATCTACCTGGGGAATTCTGGGAAAGAGAGCCCCAGGCAGAAGTCCCCGAGTCCTGCCTGTGGGGCTGGGGAAGGGTGGCAGATTAGGGATGCCCGGGCCAGGACTCCGGAAGCCCTCCCACACCTCAAGATGCGAGCTCAGAGCGCCCAACAGGAACAGCTGCACCCGCTCTGGTTCAACAGCTGGGCCAGAAAGAAATAAGCATCGGCACCAAAGCCAGAAGCAGTTCCCAGGAGGTGCGGAGGAATGGACCCCGGATCCCCCACCCCTTCTGCCTGGCCCTACCTTGGAGGCTCTTGGACCAGAGTTGGGATTCATCTTCCCCTCCTGCTCTCAGGCTCCCCCCTCTCTGGGCTTAACAGGGGGACCCTCTCCAAAGGATACTCCCCGGGGTGCTGGTGCAGGGGACCCGACCTCCGGAGAGGGCTGAGCCCAGCGTTCCTGTTAGTTCCTCGGTTGCAAGACATCCTTGTTCTTGGCGAGTCCCACAACCTGGAGCCCATGACATCGTTGCTGGGAGACGCGGCACCAGGATAAAGGGCACTTGCTCCACCATCGCAATTGCCGATTTCATGGCTGTCTCGGCCAGGACTTTGCAGAAACCCCTAACCCATCTGCCACACAGAAGGGGGATCAGTGGACATCAGCCCCTTTCAGACCACTTCCAGTTCTCTGAGAAAAGAGTCCAGCCTCTTCGGCCGGAGTCTCAAACCTCGGGGAGGCTGTGCCTTAAAAAAGGGCCCTCGGATGCCATCTGCCGGCCACCGATCGTAAAGACAAGGTAGGTTTCTGTAGTGGGGGAAACACTGAAGACCAAAAGGAAAAGGGAGGGGGCAAAAACAAAACAAACCGAGACTGCAAAAAACAGGTATGGGTTAAGGTTTAATTTTTAAAACAGACACACACATAAACACCGTCCCACATAACGGGAAGCCGCGTTCAACAAGTTCTCCTTGTAAATGGATATTCAAAGAACACGGAGAACACACAGTCCATGATAAATGCACAAGAAAGCAGTACTTGCACCAACTTGCAACTTGAAATGTGCCTGAAAAGGTCGGCATGATGTGGATTTGCCATTGGGGGGGGCACCTCCGTCGGCGCATCGGGGCTGGGAACGGAACGGCCTGGGTCCTCAGCACTCCCTTACAATGAAGAATCCTGTGTGCCCCAAAAGCCACTAGGGTTGTTCTATGGGTTCTCCATCTTCACCCCACTGCAAGCCCCCGGGGGGCCCCAAAACAAGACACCCACACATTTCTGATTAAAGGGGGGGGAGAATGAAAGTTGCCGCCCTGCACCTTTGCTACAGATCCGATTTTAAAGTCAAATGGGGTCAAGGTTGCATCTCAAAGCAATACCTCCCCCCATTTCTCTCCCCCCAGCCCCCAACTCTGCCTCAAGAAGCAAGGCAGGGTTCATGCACAAGCCTCCCACGGCTTCCCACATTTTAAACATAACAGGTGGGGCCGATTGAAACCCAAATACGCCGCCTGAACCCTGCAAAGTAGCAGCCAGATCCAAGGCGGATCCAGCCAGCTGCCCCTTGCGAAGACAGAAACATCCTGGGAGGAAAAAAAAACTTAAATCCAAAAGGCCCCTGGTCTTCTCTGGACAAAAATCCTAGGATGGGGACATAAACGATATAGCCTAAACACCAGATTTTTCCCCCCAGGTGCTCCTCCTGCACCTGCTCTCGGCCTCAAGATGCAAACAAGACCCGAACGCCACATAACCCACAAGCCATCCCTGTAAAACAAACCTTTTGGCTAGGTAAGCCAACAACCAAGCCCATTATCCACACACCCTCCCTGTCACGTGAGGACACGGACCATTGCATGGCGGGCAGCCTGGTGCCAGAAAAAGAGACTTTACGTGGTACAGTCCTTCCCTGCTGCAGCGGCTTTTTCCCCCCCCCCCAGGTCATTTGGCTTCAGTAGCACCGATAGCGCACATGGGTTCTCCTGTAAGGGCTGGTGTCTCTGGCGTGGAAGGAGCGACGGCGCATGACCAGGCCGTGGCGGTGCTCAGTGACCCGCCGGACTCTTCTGTGATCCTTGCGAGATCTTGGGGGGCTATTTACCACGTTGTGGGAGGGGTAAACCGAGAAGCGGGTCCGGTCGGCCTCCTCGAAACGGCAGAAGTTGTTACGCGCCGCAGCTAAGAAGACAAGAGAGAGAGAGCGCAAAAATGAAGCTGTGGAGATGATTCTTTTGTTATTCCATCGAGTTGGACTTTGGGGAAGTTACTTTTTTAGCTTACAAGTCTCAAGCTGCCTAAGGGATTCTGCAAGATGTAGTCCGGAGAACTGACACCGATACAGTCTGCATCCATTTATATAGCAATCAGTTTTTCCAAATACCTCCAGTTTATGAATGTGGGATATTGTGCTTCTAGACCCACGATTCAAAAAAAAAAAAAAAAAAAAAAAAAAAAAAAAGGCGATCAGTTTTTCCAAATACCTCCGGTTTATGAATGTGAGATACCAGGAAATGGCCCAATATGACTGCGTAATATTGTGCCCGCGTTACCAGCAGGAAAAAGGATGCTAAGCTTTACATAGCAAAGGACAGCCTGAAGGTTGATGACACTCATGGCAGCAGTCAAGATGGTTTACGAGATCCCCTCTTCCGCTCACTACCATTCACCTCTGCTTTCATCTCTATACTGAGTAGGAGACTCTGGGAGCTAGGGCTCAAAAAAAGTAACTTCTACAACCTCTGTACAGGAGCTAGCGCTCAAGCACTGGATAAGGCAGAATGGGGGGGGGCGAGGGGAAAAGAGGCTGGTGTTTCCTGAGCTTCCACCCTCCCTCTTGCTATTCTGCAGTAAAAAAAGGGTTAAACGTGATGATGCTCCTCCCTCCCGATGGCCACCATGGAGATGAAATATGGAGGGGGGGATGTGCAGGATTCCTTAGGTAAATCAGGTCTGGGCAAAATGTGGGCCATGGGTCAAAGCCCCTTGACACACACACACACACACACACCCTTCCCAAAATGACACCCCCCACACGATTTGCCTTCTCAATGTCACTGTGCCCCACTGAATATACCATCCAGGTGGAATGGTGGAAGATCGTTGTCCTCGAAGCTGGTGAATCCAGCAAAGGGCTCAGGTGACCCCTCATGGCCGGGAAGGAAGAAGCCATCATCCTGGAACGAGGAGAAATCGGGGTACGTCCTGCGGAGGTCAGACGGCGAGGGAGGTCTCCGGCGACGGACTGGAGACAACAAGGGCGTCACCGCCGGATGGAAGTCAAGAGGCTCATCCTTGCACGCCAGGCCTGCGGAATCAAGGGTCAGGGTTCAAAAGGCCTCCATGGTGATGATGGTCAGGGGCGTATTCCCTCCTCTCAGGTCCTCCTTTCCCACACTGCATGGGCTTCCTTTTAACTAAAACACACCCGTCCACTCACCTGGAGCTAACCTGCCAGCCTTAGGCTCTCCTTGGCTCTTATAGGGATGCTCATCTGAGCTCGTGTGACAGGCTCTGCCTTCTCACACATGCAGGAGAGAGAAAGAATAGGGCATCGTTAAATTTAAGTCATCCACAAGAACGACCTCGGTTGCAGCAGCTCTGTGTCACCTTCCGAGCTCATGGGCCTCTGAGCGTCGGTCATTGGGGATCATGAGACAGAGGGTTCAGTTACAAGCAGATGCTCTGTAAGGCAACGGATTGCGCGCACACACACACACACCCAAAGTGAAGAAGACAAGCCGTGTTGCCTTATCTGACCTCCTTGTTAAGGAGGCGCTCCATGCTTTTGCCTCTCTCTGCAAACACAGCCTTCATTCGCCCTTCGGGAAACCAGGACAAGGAATACCATCTCTTTTATCCGGAGGGATGGGCACAAGGATCCTATGCATCTGGAGTCTCCCCAAAAGAAAAAGAAAGCTCGTGTTTTCAAAAAGTGAAAACAAATAGGTGCTGCGGTTCAAATCATCCTCATGGACCTTAACCCTTGCCGAGAAGGCCCAGTGAGGAATCGAACTCCCAACCTCTGGATTCACAGCCAGATGCCTCTTGTGCACTCGTCAGGAGATGAGCCTCCAGTGCCCTCTAATTTTATTTTTTTTTATTTTTTTTGCTCTGCTTCAATAGCCCTGCCAGCTAGCCTTGGCTCTACCAACCTTCCACCTTTGCAGACACAGGACGGCCACCAGGCACCTCTAGACATCTCCATGAACAAGGGGAAGGGGAGAGAAGGTGAAACGCAGATGGAATCAGAGCTGAAGTCAGACAGGAGGACCGCGAGACCGTCGGCTACAAAGATGTGCCACTGACGCAGTGGAACGCCAGACTTCAGCCAGGCATGGAAGAGCTCCTTATCAATTTGGCTGGCCACCTGCGGGCCAGTTCATTGCCATCTTATGGATTGCAAAGGACCCAGTAGTGTGTATGGGGGGTGGGTGAGTGCCTTTCTAGCCAAACAGTAGGATTTAAATACAGTGGTGCCTCGCTAGACGATGGTAATCCGTTCCACTGAAATCGCTGTCTAGCGAAATCATTGTCTAGCGAAAAGCATTTCCCCATTGGAATGCATTGAAACCTGTTTAATGCGTTCCTATGGGGAAGAATCGTCGTTGTCTAGCGAAGATCGGCCATAGGAAAGCTTTGCGAACCGCCAATCAGGTGTTTAAATCACTGTCTTGCGAAGCTTAGGTCCCGAAAACACCCGTTTTGCGAGTGCGGAGGGAGCTGTCAAAATCGTCGTCTAGCAAAAATCGGTTTGCGAAGCAGGGACCAAACATTGTCCAACGAAATTCCCCCATAGGAATCACTGTTTTGCAAATCGCTATAGCGATCGCAAAAAGTCAATGTCTAGCGAAAAAACTGTCATGTGGGGTAACTGTCTAGCGAGGCAACACTGTAAAAAGTACATTATTTGAACTCTCTCCAACGGCTGCCCACATTTGTCAGGCACATAAGAAAAGGACATGGTTCAATGACAGATCTTTATACCCCAAGGTCCATTCATTTATTTTCCAGTTGCTCTCAGTCAGTGGTCAGAATCCAGCGGACGTCCGCTTAAAATGTGCATCGCTTGCAGCAGCTCATGAGTGAGGTGCCCAGGGAAGAGTTGGGCATGTGACCAAGCCATGCCCTGGGACTTCCGTCAGTTAGCTGCCATTCATTGCCTGTAGTAAATTATGCAAACCTTACGTAGACATCCTCAGGGTTTCGGCCATTCCTGACAATCCTGAGCCACCTAAAACTAACTTAGAAGTAGTTGCTGAATCATGGCTGGAACGAGGCTCAGCTAAAGAAAAAAAGAAAAAGCAGCGGGACTGCAGCACTCACCCGCGCGAGGCTTCTTCTCCGGCATCACGACACCCCAGGCGTCTGCCACGTGGTCCAGCAGCAGGTTGGTGATCCTGCGGTGCACCACATTGTTCCAATGGATGCCGTCCTTGACCCGGTGACCCAGGTCGTGGCGGAAGTGGTAGTGGAGATCCACAACGTCAAACAGGTGGGAGCCGGCCAGCATGGCCCCGTAGAAGTTGCCCTCGATGACGTCCTTGCGTAGAGTTTTGCTCAAATGCTGGAGCTGCCGGAAAGGAGAGGAAGTCACGGACAGACGTCTAGAGCCGGGAGGGAAGAGGACGCCATGGGGCTGGGAGGAGCGGATCCGAGGATAGCAAACCGGTGACTCCTTTAAACCTTTAAGCCACAGAGATTCTACTTAAGAGCTGGCCACAGGTGCTAGAACGTGAAGGCATAGCACAGGTGAGCAGCTCAGAGTGAGGGCTGCTAATCCAGACAGGTGGTGGCTGGATGGATCACAATAAAACCCGGTCTTAGAACTTCAAAAGGTTGCTGCCGGAAGATGGATTTTCCAAGTTTCCCTCCTCCTGGCCGCTGTTTTTGCGCCCGGAGATGGAAGACTAAAACGAGGCACCCCATCCTCGGCCATTCCCTGCTGGGGGGAGGCTTCTTCTCTCTTAGGTCTGAAATGGCAATTTCCGCCATCCTTCTGCGGACTCACTAGAAACCTACAGGTTTGGGCCAGAAGAGCCCCAGTTAAACCAGTCTCTGAAACACCCTTGCCTCGCCCTTGTCCCACTCTTCTCTGCAGGAGAAAGCGGTCTGGAGAGGCGGGGCCAAGGGCCAAAGCCACACACGCCTGGCCCCCCAGCAAACCGTTACAAGAGGTAACAGGGGGACAGGCTGCTCTTATGCTGGTGCTTCAATGAGGGGTGGGCAACCGCAGCCCCCCCAGGCTTAGCCAGCATCCCCAATGGTGAAAGACTATGGGGAGGGGTTTCCAGCCCAGAATGGAGGGCCACAGCTGCCCCCACCCCTCTATACTTTATGTTCTGTCTCAGCAAAAGAGGGCAAGACGTTATTTAGGAGGGGGCTCAGACGCCCTTGAATGGGACTTGATCGAGCCACATGCTGGAGGAGATCAACCAGCTGACCCTGCTTGAGGGAACCGTCTCAGTGTCTGGGAGCTGGCTAACGTCGAGCAACATGCTGGAGGAGACAAGCCAGCTGACCCTGCTCGAGGGAACCGTCTCAGTGTGTGAGAGCTGGCTAACAGTCGTCGGGGGGGGGATCCAGGGTGTGCCCCTGGAGGGACCCCCAGGCCATGAGACCCTTGCAGAAACACTCCCACTAAAAACCTCCTTGTGCAAAACAACACAAATGTCTGCATGGGGACCAGGCTTCTGTTTCTCACATGTTTTTCAAAATTGGCCCAATACAGGCAGCCCCAGGGTTAAAAACTAAGGATTAAATTACTCCTTTTACTTAACCTGCTTCTGCTCCAGCAACTGGCTAACTGGCTGGCTGGAGTTTTTAGATATCTGACGTAGTGAAACACTAGTTTCTAGTCAGGGTGGTTTACATCCTTCAGCAAAACTTACAATGACTAAGATAATTTTTAAAAAATGAACTGCATGACATCCAAACTAAAATTGAAAAGGCAACCTAAGATTGACACCGGCTAGCATAAAAGGGCTGCCTTACAGGGGCGTGCGTCAGCAGTCCCACTTGCAAATTCAGCCACTACTTCCCTGCTAATGACAAAGCACACTAAATGCAAAATTCACAGGTAAGCAAAATTGCGTGTGATGACAAACAGACATCTTTTGCCATTTGGGAGAGCACCTCTCCTAACAACATGGCAAACGGGTCCTCTAGTTCATCCCTCAGACACGGTCCCGCTCAGGCACGAAGCCACCTCGGACTATCAAGGCATCAAAAGAAACGGTCAAGGAATTGGCAGTTTATTACACAACATACAAAGTGCCTTGTGAATTCCTCTGTGCAAACATCCTCTCCATGCTCTCCTCCATGCTACACCACCGTAACTCGCTCTACTCATTCTCCTTAGGTTCCTTCAAGGGAACTCAACGGAGCAGTTCACTTGCACAAACATATATATATTATTCTCCAGCAGCCCCTGTCCCGCCACTCAAAAGGGCCAGGTCAAGGGGTTTCCAAACCCGGGCGTTGTCGGGACTACTGTATCTCAGACCACCAGCCAAGCTGGTTGGGGCTTTGGAGAGCTGGCAGCAGCCGAGATCTCTAGACGAAGCCACAGGGGTCGGTGGGCTCCTGCCGTTCCTTACCTCCGGTATAAGAAAGCCCCCTCTGATCTTGCGACCCAGCGGCATCGTCATGTTCCAGATCACCAGGCAAGAGGACGGGAGGACGGCTTCCAGCCTGTCAAAGGCCGTCTCCAAGTTTGCTTGGTATTGCTTCATGGAGGCCGAGCCGTATCTGCCGGAAGACAGGAGAGCCGTCAGTCCTCGATGGGGGGGCTTTGGAGCCAAGGAGCCCCAACCCCTGTTAAGAGAGGCGTGAGCAATGCTGTCGGATCACGTCGCCCGGGGCAGGGGCCGGCTGCTCCTCTCGCCAACACGACGGCATATTGGCCATCATACCAAGGGCTTGTTTCCGAGGACGTGGAAGCTTCATGGTACTCGCCGGAAGCCACCAACTGGGCCAACGCAGAGCAAGTTTACCTCGAGACGTCCCAGACACAAGAATTGAGGATCAAGACATCCGGCTGCAGCCCGGCCCGGAAATCGTCCAGGATGCTTTCCAGATAAGGGGAATACACTCGCGTCAGGAAGTAGAAGCGGACAAGGTGGTGGTCGGTGCGGTACTGGCGCACCTCACGGTAATGGGTCTCGTTGTGCAAGCCGCCCTCCACCCCGCCTTCGATTAAGTGGTCATTTTGGAAGCGGAGTTCCCCCTGGGGGGAGAGAGAGAGATTGAGAGAGAGGAGAGCAGGGCTGTGTGCTGCGGATTGTGACACACACACACCTTTTATCCCACATCCCTCCCTTCAGCCTTTCCAAAAAGAGATCCTTCCTCCACCAGAGTGCAGGATGAAACCTCTGGCGCTCCAAAGTCACTGACGTTCGGCAGGGGTGAGAGACAAAAAAGGGGTCCCCCGCCACCCCTGCGTAACGTGTCGGGCACCTCAACCCGTCAACCGGCTGCAAAAGCAAAGCCGTGCAGCGCATCTCACGAAGGAAGACAATGCCGTGCAGGAGTTCCTTCTAGAGATGAAAGGCTGTAAAGGACCGTTGCAGGATGGGCAAACGGGACCCTCTCTTCCCCTCGCTGCCTGGCCCACCTCCCATAGAAGGAGGATAGAGAAACAGAGGCTCCCCTTATGTAAGGAATGCCTCAAGATCCCTGAATGGCTGGATGTCACAATCCAACATCATCAAAGCTTTCGTGGATCAAAATCTATTCAGGCCCTTAAGAGGTGGATTTCTTCACTCGGAAGGCGTGCAAGTACAGTACAGTACATGCCCTCTGAATTTAGACACCTCCTCCTGAGCAGCTGAGGAGACAGGAGACAATTATTTTTGACCCAAGATGGAACCCACTTACAGCAACCTTAGTCATTTCCAAGCTAAGGGAGATATTTAAGGAGTGGTTTACCATGGCCGATGGGACGTGGTGGCACTGCAGGCTAAACCGCAGAAGCCTGTGCTGCAGGGTCAGAAGACCAAGTAGTCATAAGATCGAATCCACGCAACGGAGGGAGCTCCCGTCGCTTGTCCCAGCTCCCGCCAACCTAGCGTTTCGAAAGCATGCAAATGCAAGTAGATAAATAGGGACCACTTCGGTGGGAAGGTAACAGCGTTTGTTTCCAAGCTAAGGGAGCTATTTAGGGAGTGGTTTACCATGGCCACCCCGTAGGGAGTTTCCATGGCCAAGGAAGGATTCAAATGAAGGTGTCTGGAATCCTATTCCATCACAATATCCACAACATGACACGGAATAAGCAAAAGACCTCTTAGTGCATTATATATACAGCTTTCTGCAGTATCTGTAAACCATTCCTTAAATATCTCTTACCTAGAAATCCCTATAAGGTTACTATAAGTTGGTTGGCACAAAACACAACAGCAAGAGGGCCTGATCTCTACTTAAGCACTAGAGGCGCTCTGAAACTGGCTGATGTAGCCAATGTTTGCGGTCTTCCTCTTGTAAGCCCTTAGTTTCTTCAACGGCCAGTTCTAGTTCCATAACAGAGTGTCCCGGGAAGGCCACAATATTTTACCTTTTCCTTCTCTCTCTCTTTTTCCTCTTTAATTCTGCCAACAAGCCGAGACAAACAAACACAGCCTCCACAACACGACACGGAATAAGCAAAAGACCTCTTAGTGCATTATATATACACTAATAAATCAGCTTTCTGCAGTATCTGTAAACCATTCCTTAAATATCTCACTTACCTCGAAATCCCTATAAGGTTACTATAAATTGGTTGGCACAAAACACAACAGCAAGAGGGCCTGATCTCTACTTAAGCACTAGAGGCGCTCTGAAACTGGCTGATGTAGCCAATGTTTGTGGTCTTCCTCTTGTAAGTCCTTAGTTTCTTCAACGGCCAGTTCTAGTTCCATAACAGAGTGTCCCGGGAAGGCCACAATATTTTACCTTTTCCTTCTCTCTCTCTTTTTCCTCTTTAATTCTGCCAACAAGCCGAGACAAACAAACACAGCCAGGTCTTTACAGACTGGGAACAATGCGCCTTTCCCAATCTGATCAGCAAACAGAGCACCAGGGCTGGCTATGGGAGGCAGCTTCTGTTCGCCCAAAGACTGCCAGAATTCTATAATCCAAGAAACCCCGCATTTGCACCAGCAAGCAGTGCAGGCAGCATGAAACGATTTTGGCTTGAATGCTTTATGACTTCCAGGGGGAAGGGGATCCCCGGCTCCCGCCGGTCCACGTTTCTGGACCCAGGCCTGCCGGGTGCTGAGCCGCTGATCTAAGTCACAACGGAAAGCACAAGCAGCCCCCGACCCCAGGGCGGAAGGGCCTCCGTGGGCTACCTTGGCCTTCATCTGGGACGTGGTGAGCAAGCTATCGGTCTGCAGCAGCCGGACGAGATCCTTGTACACCGACCTCTGGACTGAAAAAGAAGAAGGTAAAACCGCAGCAAGGGCAGGCCACACACTCTCCTTGCGGCCAGGCTGCAACCGAAGAGCTACTGCTGAAGGCGCAGCCTTGAGGACAGACTACATGACCTCTGGGTGAATTTCAGCCACACGAGTGACAGGCCGCCGAGGGGCTTAAGGGCAACGGCTTTGAAGCCCACAATGAAGGTTCCTCATCAGCAAATCATTTTGCCTCCATCTCAGCTTCACTGTCCCCCCTCACCCTTCTATTATGGGAAACACAACACAGGTTTAATTAACTGAAATAGTGGTTGCAAAGATTCCCCAAAAGAGGCCAGGCTGGCTCCTTCTTTTCATGGTGCCAACCCTCATGGTTTTCAGCTTGAAATATTGTCTTTCAATGGATGTCGGCTGCCTTGAGTCCTTTTCTAAGGCGAGAGGCACCATAAAAAGATTTAAAATACATAAATAAATCTTTGCTATCCTTCCACATTTAGACAAAAACCTGTTTGCTGGCAGGCTTTCCCTTAATCACCGGCTGTTTGAGTGGGATTTTTTTAAAAAACCCCAGAAGGGTTGGAAAATTTGTATTTTTGTCACTTTTTAATCTGTTTTAGTAATGCTTCTATAATCTATTCAATATGACATTTATTTAATTCTTTGTAACAGTCAAATAACTTTTTTAAAAGGTTTCAATTTTTCTTTTTTTTTAAACGATGTAAGCTGCCTTAGATTCTTTTTTTTAAGGAGAAAGGCAGAGTAAAAATATTTTTTTCAATATAAATAAATAACGCACAAAGATAAAAGTATTTAAATTGTTTTGGACAAGCATCATAAAATAGCCAAATGCTACAGAGAACAAACAGCAAACCGTCTTTAGATTTTAGAAGGTTTCAGACCAACGCCAGAATCCACAGCGGACAACATCTTTATTAGGACCACCAAAATGTTTCTCCTTCTCTTCACTGGGCTAAGTGGTGCAGGAAAAAAAATTAGAGGAAGAGGGCTAAAGGGGAAAGCCAGTATCAAGAAAAGGGTTTGAAGAAACCTTCATTAAATGGTAAGGCTTTGATTGAGATGGCAGGAATTTACATCCCGGTTTTCTAAACACCAGACTGCGTCCCAGATTTTTCTCCTCCCTTTGAGATAAAAATATGTTTTATTTTATTGGAAAAAAATATTTCCAGGCCTTCTTCTGTTGATTATGGCACTATTTACACCAACTATAAGGACAGAAATGCTCCACCAGTTACATACCTGGTGCTCGGAGATCCAGGATCTCAGCTATTCTTACTGCAATTATTATTTTGTTTTATTGACTTTAGGAACAGCCAGCAGCCTAAACCCAATGGAATCACTGGGATTCCTATTTAGTTCTACACAAATCTTCTCTAGTTGGGGTCAGTAATTGGAGTGCAAGCAGAAAAGCCACCAGTGCATCTAGATTATCAAGCAGGATTTCCGATTCCTGGCTTTTTGCCTTTAATCCAAGACTTAACCCTAAACCCCAATGCCTTCCAGGCAAATGGAAGTCACCCAGGAGATTGTGTCCATTCTTATTTTTAAATGGCACTTGCCAAGAACTGAATATGGGGGCCTTTTACATGCAAACAAGAGGACCATCCTTTTTTTTCTTCATTCCTGCTGGTTTTTGACCCCAAATTCCCCCTTCTTTAAACTGCTTTTCTCCCCATAGACAAAAGGCAGGAAAGTAAAAAGCTCAATGGACCCCCACACTCTTCCACCGGACTACAAGGCCTCTACCTGGAATTTATAGACAATAAAACAGGAAGGCAATGGAGTGGCGAGGCCTCTCTGCCTTGGAATTCTTGCAAACCAACCCATTTATGGATGGGGGAAAAAATCGTTACTACTAGAAGATGCCTCCTTCTCCAATCCCTTCTCCAAAAAACCCAGAACCCTCAGGACTGTGACACTCACTCGAGTCGCCCACGATGACGACAAATTTGTTATAGAGAAGCTGGCAGGCCTCTTTCGAACTAAAAGTGCGCATTCTCCGGTGATGGTGATTTTCCTGGAAGAGGAGGCTAGTACCTATTTTTTAAAAAAAACAACAGAGAAAAGATGTAAATAAAGGAAAAGACAGGTACAACTCTTCTGCACACAAATTCAACCCTAATAAAATCACATAATAAACAAACATGATGCTGTAAAATTACAAAAAAACAGGCAAGGTGACTATCTCAGACCCACCAACCAATAAATCAATGAAATATGGCAGACAGAATTAGCCCATGGGATACAAGGCCACTGGGAATTTCTCTCTCTCTCTCCACCAACGGTACAGAAATGAAGAGGAAAGATAATAGGAGCCAGGCTCTGCTCCAAGGGGGGAAAAAAAACACATTTTTAAAAAGAAGTTAAGAATTTTTCAGCCATTGTCTTCCGTCCTCTGTAGATGTTCAACCACAAAACCTTGGTAGAAAACTTACATTTTTTCCCCTACGGAAGACCTTCTAGCAAGTGAAGCAACGCATTTAAAGTTTGATGGAGGAGGAAAGCTGCACCTGAGCAATTGAAATAACTCTTAAAAGTCTCCAAACAAGGGCTAGCCAAAGGCTAACAATCCTTCTCCCTGTACTGGATGCAAAAAAATAAAAATAAAATGCAGCTGGCGCAGACTGGGGTTGCGGCAACAGATAGCAGGGTCTGGCAGATAAAGGAGTTCTCACCGACTTTCCCTCCGAATGCTCTCCCACCTGCGTTCTCGGATGCTCTGCTTCTAAAAGGGGAAACAGCCCTCCTCAAGGTCACCTGTACCCAACACACACCTCTCCTGCCGGGGGTTTATAAGAAGCCCCCCACTTTTTTTTTCAACCGCCTCGTTCCCCCAGTTTGCAAAAATTCTGCACCTAGTTTTAAAACCCAAACAGCTCTAGGAATCCCGGTCCAGCAAAGTGCTTATGACTCCTTAAGAAAGCAGGCTGGAGAAGTGCTCCAAAAAGTGGCCCATGTTGGTAGGAGGATTTGGGGTTGGGGGGGGGGAAATAACACCCTACTGACCAGGTTCAGATTTAGCCTGGCTTTTCAAGATACGCTCTCCTTTCCTTACAACCTCTGTCAGCCAAAGGCTCCGGTTTGAGGTCCTTCCAAAGATAAGACTCCAGAGAGATATTAAAGCTGCAAATCTACACGTGTGGAGGAGGCAGCCCTGTTAAGTCTGCGCAAGCATTATAAGGGCTAGTCGGCTGCCCTGAAACTGACCAAGAATCTTGTGGAACCTTAAAGCCTACACAGTTTATTTGGGACCTGCTTCCATGGGGTGCAGGAGACAAAAGCTCATGTTACTCTCAAAGCTGCCACGAGATTATAAATGCTAATAAACTAAATGACTCATCAATACTTATTAAGGCAGTTCCTCTTAGCAAGACCACAAAGGGGCAAAGATTTCTGATGAACTAGATTGCATGTTTGAGAAGGCCGCAGGCATGTGTATGTTTCTTTCAAAAGCTTTTTCTACCCTAGCAAAATCCTATCTTTTGTGGGGTTTATGGGGAAAGATTTGGGAGAAACCTCCAAATATAATCTAAAGTGTCTTTTCAATCTTCTCTTCTATCTCCCCTGGATGGGGGTTTTCCCCCCTCTCTCCATCCTTTCTTAAATTACCTCCCTCCAAAAATGGAATTCAGACACTGTTAAGGAGAGATGCAGACACTTTGGGGGAATTACAGTGGGGTCTTGACTTGAGAACTTAATCCGTATTGGAAGGTGGTTCTCAAGTCAAAAAGTCTGTAGGTCAAGTCTCCATTGACCTACAGTGCATTGAAAACCGATTAATCCCGTAACAGGCCGTTTTTTTCCATTTTGATTTTTTTTCTGGTCTGTAAGTCAATTCTCAGTCTGCAAGTCAAACCTAAATTTTGCGGCCAGAGAAGTCTGTAACTCGAAAAGTCTGTAAGTTGAGCCGTCTGTAAGTCGAGGGTCCACTGTGACGGGACCCAGACACCTCAAATCAACCCAAACAGATAACAACCAGGGCTGGGTTGTGCAAACAAGCCAAACAGGGAAAGCAGAAAAAGATTTGCTTCCCCCCTTCCCCCCCCTCTCCCCCAGGGGAGAAGATCTTTGATTTACTTGCAGATAAAAAAAGGAGGGGGGGATTCAAACACCAGGGATGTCCAGGTGCTGAATTTCTCACTTAAGATATCCCCCAGGGTTAACCCAACTCCCCCACCTGGCAAGAGGTGCGGAAGGGCTAAATAACGGCAGCTGCTGGCGGTTGAGTGCCAAATTTACTCAGAAGGAAGCCGCCATGGCATTCTGTGGCACTTAACTCTGTGTAAGCGCATGCATACAGCTGTCCCTGGAGCATGGCCCTAGGAACTGGAACTCCCCTTTCAGTAAGAAATTCCCACAAGTTATTTTCTCAAGGAAGAGGTGTCCCATGGATTTCAACAGAGTTTATTTCTGATCCAGGATGGTGTGGGGACACGGTGTGGATCAGTGCTCCCCAGGACCCCAGAGAATGTTCCTCGGCCCTGCAATCCTCCCCAGACTCCTTTAAATTTTTTTTTAATTCCAGCAAAATAAGGGACATTGCAAATCTTAGAAGCTCCAGGTTGGAACCCAAAGCTGGGACTACGAGTCCCAGCATCCCCATGCAACCCCGCTCAGCAGTTATGGAGACCAGGCGATGCCTGGAACAGGAGTCCAATAAATTCAAATCTTTCCGCACAAAGAGGAAATGCAGTTCAGAAATACATAGGCTGTAAGCCCTCCTTTACACACAAAAATAAGTAAATAAATATTGAATCGACACTGAAGGAGACTGGAGTCCAAAAAAAAAGGGTAGCAAGTCTACCCTTCCCATCTAATAATGGATAATTTAACCCCCAGGACTTGCCTGGATGCCTTTTACGAGTTACGAGAGCTTTTAATGTTGACTTAAACTTTTAATTATTCAATTGGACTTTAATTAGCGCCCTTGTTTTTTAATGTTTAGCTTCTTGTGTTTTTAATTCTGCTCTTTTTCATACTGTGAGCCGCCTTCGGTCCCCTTAATGGGAAAAGGTGGCCCATAAAACAAACTAATAATTACTGTACATAAATATGCACCGGCAGAAAGTTGAGGGACGGAGGGACTTTTTCAGTCCCCCCCCCCAAAAAAAACCCACTTCTTAATTCAGGGCAAAACTGATTTCATTTCACCAGAGTGTGTTTCCTATACAAGCTGATTTGTCCTTTCCTGTTCTAGCTTTTCCACTCTCCATTTTAGTTTAATCCTCTTTGCACGGGCTGCTAATATATTAGTTGATTTTTAGATTCTCCCCCCCCCCATGGTTTGCTATCTTCTTTTATAATCTATAGTTTTTTTCTACTGTTAGTTGCCTTGGATATCTCTTGCAGAAACCTGGCCTCTAAATGCAATACAGAGTAGAAAACTATTTTTGATTAATCCGGCTAGTAGAGGTAGAACCACTGCCTATTTCCAAAGAGGTCCTTCCTCACTCAAGACACAGGAGTGGAGACTTGTTTTAGGTTCCTCCGTTTCCATGGGATTTATCAAGAACAGAATGCCAGGGAAATTCCTTGCAATATTTATGCTCCCCACTGCCTTCTCTTATCTTGTGCAGAAAGGCAGAGAAGCCGAGCGAAACTCACCTCCCAAGCAACCAGACCAAGTCAGAAGTGTAACCGCCAGTCAAATCAGATTGCCCTGCTACTTTGCAAATTAGCAATAAAAATAACTCCTGTCTCTCTCACACAGAAGCCTAACATTGGTGCAAGTTCCCTATTGCTCTGTTGCACACTGACCTCACGCCACCCAACCCTAAACAAGTTTCTTAGGAAGGAAATGTCACTGACTTTGTTGGGTGCAACTCCCAGCATTAGAGTCTTTATTATATTTAATTAAACAATGTCATTAACAATGTCATTGGCTCCCAGCTCTCAAAAATACAGCATGCAAAAGGTCAGTGAACTCTACCCAGCCACAAGGACGGGATCACTACACACAAAAGACCAGCTAATGACACCCATCAACCACAGGAACAGATAATCTCTTCTCCTTAGCACAACA